TTGTACAAGGTTGTAGGCTGATAGTATGTTAAGTAGAGATTTGGGGAATTCATGAGAACTGTTATTGTTCTTTTCAACATACCATTCTATTTTAAGTTTGATCGATTTATTGTTTATATTGGTGTCCCAGGATGGAGAAGAACCAATAACAAGATTTCCAATTAATGGGGAAGCTTGGAAAGGTAAGGGATAGTATGATTTACCAATGAAATCGTTTGGATTTGATGAAATTTTCTTAGGCGTAGTTGGAGTAGGAAGGACACCGTTGAAAATAGGAAGCACCATCGCTATAATTATGGGTTTGAAGATTTTCGTAAATAAAAAAAAAAATGTATACAATTCGACTCCAAAAATCTTGTAGAAATGTAGAGGAGAGTACCTACCAGGAACACGTAGATACCAAATATAGATAATCCACGATAGATTTAAGAGCTAAAATTTTCGAACGAAGACGAGCGCGTGATAAACAAAACAACCGCCGATCGCACCAATTTATAAACTTTGATTTCTCGGCGAAAAAAGGACCAATTTCAGCCAATAAACTCCTGAAATGATCGCTAGACTTTTAGCTACAAGATTATACCACAAAGTAAGGCCAATGAACAATTTTGAAGGAAGAAGATCAAAATTTCGAAGAGCACCGCCGGAAAATTCAATGGCCTTGCATTTTTGGCCTTGTTATGGCAAGATATCAGGCCGTGTAATTTAAGTAGGCCATGAAAAATGTCGCTCGTTATTCCAGCTACGCGTCATGGAGTCGGTATTAATTAAATTGACCAATCTTGTCCTTTGCAGACAAAAGGAATACGTGTTTAATCTGTCTCTGTTTTAAGTGTTATCTCTAAAAATAGGGATGACATTGACCTTTTGTAACGTTATAAATATAGCATGATTTGGAGGTTCTCATTTAGCAGACGTTGACACCTGAGGAGTAGTATGCCGAAATGCATAGCGTCTCTTTCTAGCTGTAAATAACGGTTCCTTTGAATTGTTGGGTTAGTGTTCTGCTTAAAACAGTTCTTTTAAGAACTATTACATTGTTATTATCACCATTCACCATGGTATTTGCTATTTTAAAATCCATCTTTAAATTATCAATTAATTATTTACATTACCATAAGTTCTTAAAAGGACGATGGATATCAGACATTTTAAATGAACGACGAGTTTTTTTATCGTAAACATGTTTCGGCATGCTTATGCCGAAATTATGGAAGTATCATACACGAAATATCGAAATATCATATGGATAATTCATACACGAATTATCGAAATATCATATGGAAATTAAGAAATTACGGAAATATCATACACGACTTGGCACATAAATACAAAGGGAAGGTTTCCCTGTCCGACTTTCGATCAGTTGAGAAGCTATCAACGAAGAAACGCAAAGCCGATCTCGATGTGAGTTTCTTGAGGGATTGTCAGTCATTCGAAGTTTTTCCGAAATTTATTTGTTTCCCTCTTCCAAAAGTCAATGCCCCGGATGTCCATGTGATTCGTAAGCGATTGCTTCGCTCTGCTATATTAAAACGGTCAAAAGAAAAGAGGAAACTTGAGAATGATATGGACAAGATATCATCGAAACTCAAAGCAATACTAAATACAGTCGACTGGTACATTCTAGAAAAAGCTCTGGCTAAGACTATTACGAAAAAGATAAACATACTCTTATGTAATTTAATACACTTAACGATAGTCACATACACATATATATATATATACATAAAGACAAAACAACAATTCATGATACAACTGACGCGATCTACATGATACCATGTAAAGACTGTTCAAAACAATACATAGGACAAACATCTAAGAAAATTGAAACAAGACTCACAGAACACAAAAACGCCATAAAACGACGAGATCCGAACTCACTACCGGCAGAACATACCCACGGAAACAACCACACATTCGACTGGACAGAAACTAAAGTACTCGGACGCGCACAGACTAAACACGCACGCGAATTTAAGGAAGCTTGGTACAGTGAAGACAACGACACAATAAACAGACATATCGACATACCCATCATATACTCACAACTAAAGAAAAGGGACAAAAAAACTACAAACAACACCAAAACTAAAACACTACACCCCAATATTATTAACACCAACCATATTAACAACACACAAAAACCCATGGCAACGCATTTCACTCCACCCAATCACATTAATCCACCCACTCATCCAATTAGACGTTCTAAACGTCTCCAAGCTAAAAAAGCACGTGTAAATAAATATTTTTCATTCTGATGAAGGCTCGAAGCAACGAGTCGAAAGCTCAATAAAAATCATTTAAAAATCCGGAGAAACGTTTTATCTTTTATATATTCAATGCCTGGATTACAAATTTTCAAACTTATATATATATATATATATCATGTAAATAGCATAATCACCTTCATTCTATGTACTGAAGATGGCATGAGCATGCCGAAACATGTTTACAATAAAACTCGTCGTTCATTTAAAATGTCTTATTTACATTAGATCCAACAATTAGATTTTAAATACATATTCCATTATGGTGCAGTCAATATCGAAGCAAAGAATTAAACCTATTTGAGGAAATATTTTCCATTGGCCTTATAGTCGCTTCAAATTTACAACATACACGAAAAAACACAAATTAAGGTACGCTAGACACATAATATCTTATGATCATTACTCAATATGGCGACAGTCTCACTTTCTCCAAGGTAGTACGGTATTTAAAATCTCAAATATAAATGTGGTCAAAGGCATTTTTTAATAAAACGATGTTTCAGTTCAAGCAACAACATCCAAACTATAAAACTGTGGAGAAATTACCAACATCCTCTCAGTGGTGTGCTGGAAGACATATTAGAGCTTCTTAATAAAGAATTTTTCCTGAGAGAACTTACCCCAGGAATCCCCAAACATGACTCGCACTTTTCTCGGCTCAGACTTTGGGCCCCGTTTTTAAAGAGTATATATTTAAGGTTCGTTTTCAGTGGTAGCTGACTGCCCCCCCTGGAGTGCTCCTAGCATGCAACTGATCCCCCTATGTTAAACAAAATTATTATAGAAAAAATCGTGTAAATTGTCTTCATGAGTGGCATATTCATTTATAAGAATGCTGGTGTTCATTTTTGTTTTTGCTGTATTTTTTTCTCCTTTCACCTTAAATGATCAGTGAGCAACGTGAGCCTTTTCATCTTTTCTGGTATTTAGTAGTAGATCTGCATCATTCTGTAAAATTTCTTTAACGTTTTGCATCTTTGCATGTTTTGCTGTCAAAATTTATGTCGAATTCTCAGAAGCAAAAAAGCTTTTGTGTTTTGCAAGTTACCTGCCCGGTATGAATCTGCAAAAAGTCTCACGAAATTTACAACGCAAAGTGTCGAACGTTTAAAGAACATAATGTATCACAGTTCGCTACGACAGTCAACTAGATTACCCTTGAAATAGAATAAAACTTTTCTTAACGTGCCCTGCCCTATTATCTCATTGGTTAACAGTAATCAATTTTACTTCACGTCACGCGACCTGAATTATTATGATGGTTTATTTTCCAACATGTGCTAGTAACAAGGTTATGTAAAATAAACTCGTAGCATTAGTCAATTCAAGACAAGGTTATTTTAATATTGTAAATTATCTCTAGAAACAAGTCTTTCCACTTTTTGCTGAAGGAACTATTTCCCTTCTCACTTATTACACCATACCGCTTTTTTCTTTACTAAGTCTATTTTGATCAACATTCACCTGACATAAAAGGCATATTGGTGTTTTGAGATAGGCGCTTTTTCTTTGCTGTTTTATTTCCTACAAAACGAGTTAAATTAGATATTCTAATTTTGAATGCCACACATGTCAGTTAAGGTATGTAAGTTAAAGTGTGAATTAACGTGTCACGTAACAATCAACTGATGTATAGAAATACCGTCAAGTACAGAGGTATCTCCAGCATTTCTAATTTGGATTTTCGCCATTACAAACGATATTTGACATTGACGATCCAAGGACATAAAAATCTAGCACTAGCAATGTCTATCTTGTAACAAGTCACATCTTTTTTTTTAATGTTTTGTTGAAAAGCTGCTGTAATTGGCAAAAGCTGTAGCATTATCTCTGCCATTTAGTAGTTGTCTATGTCTCAATTTGTATGAAAAGCATGTTTTTGATGAAGTTGAATTTATAAACGAATAAATAAGTTTGATTTCATCATGTAAATCCTCAACTTTAAAGAAGAGTGATACATGTTGTAGGTCGAACTTTTGAAATTGATTGATTTTAACTGTCTTCTTGACACATCATATTCTTTTTTAGATGGAATCAAGAGAAAGCAGAAATCTACTTTACATTCAGCAAATAATCAATGTGGTACAAACGGAACTTGCTCAATTTTTCATCAAAGAATGGAACTCTCGTTACAAATCAACACATGGAGAATGGGATGATACCAAAAATAGTGGTAAAAAATTTTACACCTTAGAATCGGGTAGGAAGTTGGATAAAAAACTACAGTTAAAATATCAGGATGGAGACACCAGTAAATGGGACTGCACAACATTATTCAATGCTATACTTTTTTCAAAATCGATTGGCAAACATCTTGACACAAAAACAAAGGATGCTCTTCATGCACTTCGTGGTGAAAGAAACAATTACGCACATTGGTATGAAAGCGAATACTCAGATGATGATTTTGATAAAATAGTCAATATCATTGAAAAATTGTTTCAAGATTTGAAATTTTCTCTCGATAAAATCAATGAAATAAAAAATCATCGTAACAGTTTTAATTCGTTCCAAGTGCTTCCTTCAAAACCTAATCATTTTTTCGTTGAACGCACTGAATTTCAAGATAAAATCATAAACGATCTTGAAAAATTAAGGAATGATAACAATAACGAACTGACATATTTCTACATCACTGGTAATCCTGGCAGTGGTAAATCTCAACTGGCGAGACAGGTTTGTGAAAAAATATCATGTGATTGGGAAAATAGAACTTCGTTTGTAATGACTCTCGATGGGAAGAATGTGGAATCACTTTTAAAATCTTACTGTGACCTTGGATACCGCTTAAACTGTAACAAGTTTATGGTTGACACATTTAAAGGTGAAAATTTTTCCGCCAAAGAGAAAGTCAAGAACCTTCGATCGTTAGTATCTGCTCGATTGAAATTCTGGCAAAATTGGTTGATTATTGTCGACAACGTTGTGCAACTGAACGAAATTTCTTCGTTACTACCACAAGTAGGTGATCACATGTGGAAAAATGGACAACTAATAATAACTGTTCAGAATACAGATGCCGTACCTCACGATGAATTGTTCAGCAAACATATTTCTATCAGTAGTGGAATGAATGACAGAGAATGTTGTCAATTGTTAAATTCTTACACTAAAGATGAAAAGGCTGATGATCAATTGTTGAATGAAGTATCCCACGCATTAGATCGTCAACCGCTGGCTTTGGCTGCTACTGGTTATTATGTCAGTCGTGTAAACAAAGCAGACTGCTCATTTACTTGGAGTCAATATTTAAAGAAAATGTCTTTAGAAGAAGAAGAAAACATTGACCCCAATTTTGTTAAATTTAACTCGGTATATCCTAGAAGTATGTTACAAGCTTCACTTTTAGCTGTCAAACAAAGTGCAGAAGAATCCTCAATATTGGCACTGGTTATTAGCTTTTTTTCTATGATATCATTTGATCCTTTACCACGAGAAATTATGGTTTATTATGTTCAAAAAAATGATCCCAAACAAGCTGAGGAAGATATATGCCTTTGTTTAGACGAATGCTCATTGTTCTTGCATTCAGAAAGTAATGACATTAGTCTACATCGCGTTGTCCACAAAGCAATTATTGTTTATCAATCTGAACATTCAAATGAAGAACATGAAATGGAAACTAACGTTGATCATATATCTAAAGCACTTTACATGTTTAAAGGGAGACACGACGAAATCAAATTAATGCCGCATCTTGAAAAAATTATTCAATTATTAAAGGCCAACAAGACAAAACTCAACATGAACACTTTACAAGTTTTCCGTTATTTTGTTGAGAGATTAAGACATTTTGGAAAATACGATCTTGCTCTTGAACTATTGGATAAATTTAAATCAGATAAATTTAGTTATGACAAAGCTTGGTATTTTAGTATTCTTGGTCTTTTATACCATAACACCGGAAAGTATAGCAAAGCTAAAAATCATCATGAAAAGGCTCTGGAAATTCGAAAACAATCGTTAGGTCCAAATCATGTTGATGTCGCTACGTCTTTAAACAATCTTGGTATGTTAAAAACTCTAGAGCTATTCTGACGAAATCGTTAGGTCCAAATCATGTTGATGTCGCTGCGTCTTTAAACAATCTTGGTATGGTGTATGATGAAACTGGAAACTACGACAAAGCTAAAGAATTTTACGAAAGAGCTCTGGAAATTCAAAAACAATCGTTAGGTCCAAATCATGTTGATGTCGCTGCGTCTTTAAACAATGTTGGTATTGTATTATAAAACTGGAAACTACGACAAAGCTATAGAGTTTCAAAAAGCTCTGGAAATTAAAAAGTTAGGTCCAAATCATGTTGATGTTGCTGGGTCCTTAAACAATCTTGGTATGGTGTATGATGAAACTGGAAATTACGACAAAGCTATAGAGTTTTACGAAAAAGCTCTGGAAATTAAAGAACAATCGTTAGGTCCAAATCATGTTGTTGTCGCTGCGTCTTTAAACAATCTTGGTACGGTGTTTTGTAAAACTGGAAACTACGACAAAGCTATAAAGGTTTAGGAAAAAGCTCTGGAAATTCGAAAACAATCGTTAGGTCCAAATCATGTTGATGTCGCTAGGTCTTTAAACAATCTTGGTACGGTGTTTTATAAAACTGCAAAGTACGACAAGGCTATAGAGGTTCACGAAAAAGCTCTGGAAATTGAAAAACAATCGTTAGGTCTATATCACGTGGATGTCGCTACGTCTTTAAACAATCTTGGTTTGGTGTATTCCCAAACTGGAAATAACGACGAAGCTATAGAGTTTCACAAAAAAGCTCTGGAAATTAAAAAACAATCGTTAGGTCCAAATCATATTGATGTCTCTACGTCTTTAAACAATCTTGGTGTGGTGTTATATGAAACTGGAAACTACGACAAAGCTATAGAGTTTCACGAAAAAGCTCTGGAAATTCGACGACAATCGTTAGCTCCAAATCACGTTGATGTGGCTGCGTCTTTAAACAATCTTAGTTTGGTATTTAAAAAAACTGGAAACTACGACAAAGCTATAGAGCTTCATGAAAAAGCTAAGGAACTTCGCAAAAAACCGTAAGGAACTAGTCAGGTTGATGTCGCTAAGTCTTTTAGACAATCTAGGTGTGATGTATTATAAAACTCGGGAAGTTGACAAAGCTTTACATTTACACTTTGGTAGCTACGTCTTTCAAAGAAAATTGTACCATCCAAATTATGTTAAGCCTATTTTTAACACATAGACCGTAGGAGCAAGGATTCCACCTGCCAAGTCAACTCTCCTCTCCCTCAGAAGGTATTTTTGGTACTGAACAAAACGTTTGCAGTTTGCATTTTGTGAGGTAAAATGAGCCTTAAGATGTAATGGTCCTTGTCTATATATAGTTTCACTGACATCTTGTCAATAAACTTACCCTACAGCCCAGGAATCATCGTAAGTTGAACTTAGAACTGCACATGCCCTGAATCTGACATTTTCCATCAGACTTTATTTCTAAAGTAAATTGTTTCTATGTTATAACCTAGTAGTAATTTTTATTGTGTGATTCACAAACATACTAAAGTATAGTGGGATGACAGAATTTTATGACATAAATTTTGTTAAATAAATACTGTCCTCAGACATGATCTGAAATCGTTGCTTTATTATGAAAGGTGAATACCTGTGGGGTGATTATGAGTCATCCTTCCACTTTCAACAGAAATTTCAATTAACATTTCAATTTGATCTTCGCAAGGAAACATCAAACCTATACACATGGATCTCATAGCTGCACCACATCCGCCACCTCGTTCATTAAATACTATAATGTAACCTTTTTCCTCAAGAGGTTGTAACATGAAACATGCCTTTGTTGTGGTCTGCCCAGGAGCTCTTTCCCACATATCCTCAGCACATGTTTTCTTGTAGGGTGTAGATAAAAAGCGGACGGCGAACGCAAAACGCGCAAATAAAATGCTTTTAGTCCGTTCGTAAAATACTCTTATTCTACGTCGAGAAATAAACATTGAAAAAACTAAAATAAAAACGAAACTAAATGATGCTTTTAAGAGACATAGGTATAGGCAAACAGTGGAAACAGTTTCGTGCAGCTCTGTTTTTAATGATTGTACGAACGTCTGTTTGTACGAGCTTTATCTTTCAGGATATATTTTTTGACCTCATTATTTAAAGCAATTAAACTTGCATATTTCAATTGTCAGTCAGTCATATAGAGTGAAAAATCTTTTCTTTGCTTTGTTTCAATATTGTTTCAAACTATTCTGGAGGGTTATTTTGTAATCCTTAATCTTTACCCGATTCCATGATCTTCAATCTGATTAACATGTTGCTTGTTGCAAAGATACGTTAAGAGTTGAAAAAACTTTTTCAGCGATAATATTCGAAAATATGGCGTTTGCATTGGTGAATTTTTACAACGAAAATACATGGATATCATTCCAAATTCTAACATCATTTTTGAGGATGAAAATATGTCGAAAGACAAAGATGAACTTAAAGGTTCAAAACGTTAGTCATGTGGGGTGATGGAAAAACAATGGGAAACGGCAAGTCGAGGGAATTTTCTGCAGAGATAATAGAGGTTTGAGGTTAGTATTTTTACTTTGTTGTAGAATTTTTTGTAAAATTTCCAAAGGCTTGTATAATTCAGCCAAAAAGCTAATTGCTAGTGCATCTAGCTCTTTCTCTTTGTTATCATTTCTTTCATGAAACATCTTTGCTTTGCTATATATCTGTAAATTTCTGTGTTAAAATCTATTTGTTTATTTCTCTGTCTTGTTTGTAGAAATAGTCATAGTTGATATGAAGGTTGCTGTTATCAATTCAACTTACTGCTTTTTTAGGAGGGAAATACTTTCTGATAAAAAGCTTTTGCTCAAATGTTGTTCTTTGTTCTACATAGCAATAGTTCAATTACAATACTGACAATAAGGATGTGTCTATTTCCCAGATTTTAACTTGCTTGCTCTTAAATACATGTAGTAATACATTAGGCCAAACTTTGCATAAGGTTGTTTCCTTATAATTTCAGGCATGCTACTGCTTCCAATTGAAAATTATTATTTTTTAATAGTTGTTAAATAGTCATCCATTATTTTGTATAAACAGATAGTAAAGATTATTTACTCAAGACAATGAGAAAAGAAGAAACTTTCTCTATAAATACTGGCAAAGGGTGTCGCAAAAGAATTCACAAAGCAAAGTTTACAATTGAAAGTGATAGTGAATCAGATGAAGTGGTGAGTTTCCCGAAATATTACATTGACCACATTTTGTTTATATGGTGTTTACTGCATGTTTCTCAATTATTGCTGCCATCATCTATAGTTAGCACTCATGTCACTAATGTGATGATGCATTCATGGAAATTTGTTAAGTACTCCATATGGTATTCATGATTCAAATGTTATTAGCTACTAATTCTATGTTCGAAGGTCTACATTGCTGAACAAGGCTATGAGCCTAAGAATTTAAATTAGAAGTAGTAGCTAATAACAAACTTTTCAAACAACATGTATAAAATTTTGTATTGTTCTTGTTACCAGCAGGAGCACAGTATTCCTAAAAAGCTAAAGGCATCCAGGGCAAAGAAAACACAGGCTTGCTGCTCAGCCAGTCTTGCTTCACTTATAAAAGAGCGATTAACCAAGGTATGATTCAAACATCCCTTGATCCCACATACACTACTTCTTTAATTCGTAAGTAGATATATGGTTATTTGAGTCTGAGTACCGTTGAAATTAAACTTTAAACATTTCAAGGACTTTTTCAGTATAAATATTTAGACTCTACATTTTCAAGCACGTTTGACCAGCCGTAAACATCTATTTTTTACATGTTCTCCTAGGAGGCGTGGTAGTCGGAGCAGTTTATTTTGTAAACTGCACCTTGTCGTTCGTTGGGTTGTTCTTTGTCCTTTATGTTCGTTAGTACTTGTCGTAATGTTGTGATTGGTTTATGTGCGACACGTATGTTGTATGGTCGTAAGATACGCGAGATAGTCTCAGACGTACCTTTGATGTAAGGTATCGTTGCTGTTGTCACTGAGTTGTTCGTTTCGTTGGGTTCGTTGGGTTTGTAAGTGTTGCGTTTGATAAAGTCAGAGTTATAGTTGTTTTGTCAAAACACGTTTGAGATAGTTGTTTTCGTTTTGTAGAGCGTCCGGTGAATCACATATGATTTGTGCACGTCTTGTTAATGTTCTGATTGTGGTGGCTTTGTGTGATGTAGGGTTGTAAGATGATTGGTCTTGTAGTCGGTCAGTATGTGTTGGCTTGCGATAAACTGTTGTTCCTAGTTTTGATTGTCATGTTTTACCAGTCGAGAAAAGGAAGAGTTCCGTTTTCTTCGACATCTTTGGTAAATTGTATGTGGCTGTTCTGTTTGTTGATGTGAGTATGGAAGTCATCAATCTCGTCTGCATGTAGTGCTGTGATTGTGTCATCTACGTAGCGAAACCAAAAAGGTAGTGCATGTTTGTAAGTCATGAGTGCCCGTTCCTCTATAGATTGCATTACAATTTCAGCAACTACAACAGAAACGGGCGAGCCCATTGCTGTCCCATGTAATTTTTTGTAGTGTGTTCCTTTGTATTGGAAGTAAGTCGAGGTGAGGCAGAGCTCTAGTAACTCCATAATGTCTTCTGTCGGTAATGGCAGTACGTCCGTGGTGTTTGATCACAGCAATTACCGGCACCTTACAAACGACTTATTCACAATACAAACAAACGATCAACTAAAAACATTACACTTCAAACTAATTCACAATGACAATACACAATTGACACCCACACACTACAACTAAAAACGTCACACCTAAATCACACATCACAACTAAAAATAAAATATTTCACTTCACACTAATCCACAATGACAATACACATTTCCTGCACATTTCCTGTACACACAATACAATGACGTAAGAACCAGACAACAAATACGGCTAACCTGACGTTTACTCCTCATTTGACTCTGAAGATGACTACCGCTAAGGTTGTCGAAACGTCAGTCAACAACATCAAAAACAGTCCTTCTCAGGACTTTATTAACCTGGACGATCATCATTTACAAACATATAACGATACTCCCGGGTTCAAACCATTTACTTTAATTTAATGTATCTTTTAATATTTTCAACTAACTGTTGTGAACTACTATGTTGTTTTGATACTTTGTGTTTGTATTGAAGACCTAGTCAAGTTTATTAGCTTTTGTCTTTGCTGACTTCCCACCTTATGATCTATCAGAAAATATCCTTTAGAGTTAAGGTGGACCTTATTCCTCTATCTTTTTTCTAGAGCATGCAACGAGTGTGAAGTATTCAAATATGCCACGCCAGGTTATAGAAGAAGATGGTGTAAAAGCTATAAAGTTCAAACTTAATAACGAGGAACAAGCATGGAAAAAACAACACGAATCCTATAAAGAGTAACATTAGCTGTCTATACTATATTTTTCTATTAATTCTATCCATGCAACTTTATGATATTTTTCTATAAAGGAAGAAAATTGGTGAATATTTTTATCTGGTTAAAATATAACGTATAATTAAAATATCGTGAATTCATGGTTTTATTGAATTCTGTATAAAATAATGTGTACTACTAGAACCTGTACAGGGAATTTGCTAAATTGTGTTTATGTAACCCTTAGTTAATGAACTACATTATAACATAGATTCACTGGAAAACTGTAGTTCACGGAAAAATATAGTTTTGAAAACTCTAGTGTTTGGGAACAAAACTTTCAATTGTAAAACTATACTTCTCCCAAAACTTTAGTTTCTATAACTATAGTATCCCCAAAACTATAGTCCCGAAAACTATAGTTTATTCATACAACTATAGTTTTTGGAACTATAGTTTTTGTTCCAAAATTTTTGTAACCAACTTTTTGCAAGTACCTTTTTAAAGCATAGACTGTAAATTAAGGTACAGTAATAGCCTGTAGACAAACTAACGACAAAATCATTATCTTTAAAAGTTGTTCATTTTACATCTCTCACAATGTGATGAACTATTTACATAATTGTAATATTATGACACAGATTATGACAGCTGTAGTCATAATGTAACATAATCTTGTAAAGTAACAAGTGCAAAACAGATATTTGTTGTTTTTCATGTAACATGTATTTATGATTGATTTGAAAATTCTTTTTATTTGATTGATTTAATTGATTGAGCTCAAATGGGTTACACTTTAACACAGTCACTGTTACCATTTTTACCTTTAATTATGAGCTTTTTCTCGAATCACGTGATACATATATATACTATTACATAACTCAAAAGCGTTGAGCAGTTAATTTTTTGTGAAACTTTTAAAGAATTGACAAACGCATACAATTCTTGTTCATTGATCTTTAGTTTCTACAATAAATACATTAATTAATTTCTTTTGGCTCTCCTCGGTCACCGTACACGTGTGTGGGACACGCAAGAGTGGATAGGATATTGGCCATGTGTCGACTGTTGAAGCTCTCACCTCTCACCACTCAAAAGTTCATGATATTGCTGAAGTCTTAGCTTTGCAGAACGTTAACGATGAAAACCTAAAAATTTATGCGAACAACATTTCCAACAGCAATCTGCTTATCAAAAAACAGATCACTGCCATCTACAACAAGGTATGTGTGTTGATATGTCTGTATATAGGGAAGTTAAATTGCTTATTATAGCAGTTATTTGTCGTTCGGTTCAGTCGTTATATTTGTAAAATATGTGTTATTATATTAATGCTTGATGAAGCAAATTTACTTGAAATTGCAATTGTAATCATGTCATCATTGAATAGTTAAATATTTAGGTCGTTTTAGAAGCAGAAATACAAATATTTTAATGATGAAATCGGTGTATCTTTGCATTAAAATATACAGCATCGCTTATTAAATTTAAGTTCCTAATTTTCAATGCAGCAAAATAGTTTTGTTAATCTTTATAAATTGTCACGACATAACATTATCAATGTCGATTGTGCCCAATTTAATGCGCCTTTGCTTTCATTCTTTGTTTTTCATAACAATCTATTCATACAACTTCCAGAATGTTAAATATGAAAACCTGAAAGTTTCAACCGTCGACCAGTTGAAGTTTTGTAAGACATAAGACAAAGAATTATCATGCGTGTTTACGCGATGTATAAATGTGACTTTAAAATGTAAATTTTTTGCCAACTGTTCAGTCATTTATAAACTTTTTATAAATTTAGTCTTACCCTACAACGAAGCAACGTGTAAAGTGCAAAGGCTAAGTCTTCAATAATATATGTTCCACTGTAATGTTTTAAAAAACCTTCAAAATAATAACTTCAGCTCCCCCAAACCCCCCCCCTCTCAAGGTTCAAGCATCCCTTTCTTAATACCACAAATTTTATATTATAGATAAACCTTAGCAACTTGTAATGCTGTAGTTGTAGGTCAATCAAACAAAGTTACAAATTCAAACAACAACAAGTGCTTACTAAAAACAAATCCCTGTAATTTAAAGCCAGGTATATTTACGATGATGTGTTTGTATTTAAAAGCAGTTAAATACCTAGTAGAAATTATTAGTTGTTCAATGAAGACAGTCTATTTGTTAAATATATGTGTTATTTCCTTTACTTTGTGATGTATTAAATCACATTTATGCCTGATTAAACAAATTTATTTTAAAATTGAATATTTATGTCACCTTTCAATATATAAGTATTCTTTATAAACTACCAAAATACTTTATAAAGAACTCAATTGGTTAAAAATTTATCGTCAAAATATTCTTTAGAAACTTTAACTAACAGAATTATTGCTATGGTATTTTAAATCTATGATGAGGTGCTATAATGTTGTATTCTGAATTAACCTTGATCTGCCATTGTGAAAATAGTATTAAATGTTTTTGTTGTTTATTAACACATTTTCTTTTTTCATTTAGGTTCATAAAGCCATCTTTTATTGCTACAAACACTTTATCTGACATCATTGAGAAATGGCAAACTTGTGATTCAAATATGGACAACTTTGTGTAAAGCTTAAGGTACCATACACTTGCCTTTCATATCTGTGCATGCAAAGCGAAAAAAGGAATTTTGTTTGACAAAGGAAACTTTCTATCATTTCATTTTGATACAACTCCTCAAATGTACATAAAGATGGATTTCAAAATAGCAAATACCATGGTGAATGGTGATAATAACAATGTAATAGTTCTGAAAAGAACTGTTTTAAGCAGAACACTAACCCAACAATTCAAAGGAACCGTTATTTACAGCTAGAAAGAGACACTATGCATTTCGGCAGACTACTCGTCAGGTGTCAACATCTGCTAAATGAGAACCTCCAAACCATGCTATATTTATAACGTTACAAAAGGTCAATGTCTTCCCTATTTTTAGAGGGATGACATTTTTTAATAATTCAAAAGTTTTCATCAGAATAAACATTGGCACAGCGAGTGTTGCTCAAAAGATGTTTTCAAATCGCTAAATCACATAGAATCGGATTTTCACTTTTACACCCACGTTTTGGTAGTTGTCGTAAAGGAACAGTTTTATTCCTGATAGAAGCTGGTACATGCTGTTTTATTCTCTCACTGAACCTTTGAGAAGTCCTACCTACATAGCGAGCATCACACTCACATTTAAACTCGTTGACTACATTGCTTGACATTTGAGCAGGGAGAGACTCTTTGGGAGTGGGTGGAAGAATAGTTCTTTTTGAGAATATAAAGACCACATTGCATGCAAAAAACAAACTCTCGGTGATGTTTTCAGTTTCCTTCTCGATGTAATTAGATGCCTTACCCATCCAGGGAAGTTTAAGGAAAACAGGGCTTTATCAAACACTTCACTAAAGAAATCTTTTCTCTATGCGAAGAGAAAGAGTCAAAGCGCGTGTACAAACCAGTGAAAGTTGCTTTGCGATGAATGCTTGTTAAGAACTGACCATTGCGTTTGTGTACAAGAACATCTAAAAAGGCTAATTGATTGTTTGACTCTAGCTCAGTGGTGTAATTTAGTGCAGGGTGAAGAGAGCAAAGTTTATTAAGAAAAAGTTCACGATTTTTATCGTTATGAAACAAAGAAAAGGTGTCATCCACATAACGCTTATACCACAGCACATCAGGACAATCTGAAGATGCAAGCCCTGTTTTCCTTAAACTTCCCTTGATGGGTAAGGCCTCTAATGACATCGAGAAGGAAACTAAAAATATCACCGAGAGTTTGTTTTTTGCATGCAATGTGGTCTTTATATTCTCAAAAAGAACTATGCTTCCACCCACTCCCAAAAAGTCTCTCCCTGCTCAAATATCAAGCAATGTAGTCTACGAGTTTAAATGTGAGTGTGATGCTCGCTATGTAGGTAGGACTTCTCAAAGGTTCAGTGAGAGAATAAAACAGCATGTACCATCTTCTATCAGGAATAAAACTGTTCCTTTACGGCAACTACCAAAACGTGGGTGTAAAAGTGCAAATCCGATTCTATGTGATTCAGCGATTGGAAAACATCTTTTTGAGCAACACTCGCTGTGCCAATGCTTATTCTGATGAAAACTTTAGAATTATTAAAAAATGTTGCTCGTTATTCCAGCTACGTGTCATGGAGTCGGTATTAATTAAATTGACTAATCCTGTCCTTTGCCGACAAAAGGATTACGTGTTTAATCTGTCTCTGTTTTAAGTGTCATCTCTAAAAATAGGGAAGACATTGACCTTTTGTAACGTTATAAATATAGCATGATTTGGAGGTTCTCATTTAGCAGACGTTGACACCTGACGAGTAGTCTGCCGAAATGCATAGTGTCTCTTTCTAGCTGTAAATAACGATTCTTTTGAATTGTTGGGTTAGTGTTCTGGTTAAAACAGTTCTTTTAGGAACTATTACATTGTTATTATCACCATTCACCATGGTATTTGCTATTTTGAAATCCATCTTTAAATTATCAATTACTTATTTACATTACCATAATTTCTTAAAAGCACGATGGATATCAGACATTTTAAATGAACGACGAGTTTTTTTATCGTAAACATGTTTCGGCATGCTTATGCCGAAATTATGGAAATATCATACACGAAATATCGAAATATCATATGGAAATTAAGAAATTATGGAAATATCATACACAACTTGGCACATAAATACAAAGGGAAAGTTTACCTGTCCGACTTTCGATCACTTGAGAAGCTATCAACGAAGAAACGCAAAGCCGATCTCGATGTGAATTTCTTGAGGGATTGTCAGTCATTCGAAGTTTTTCCGAAATTTATTTGTTTCCCTCTTCCAAATGTCAATGCCCAGGATGTCCATACGATTCGTAAGCGATTGCTTCGCTCTGCTGTATTAAAACGGTCAAAAGAAAAGAGGAAACTTGAGAATGATATGGACAAGATATCATCGAAACTCAAAGCAATACTAAATACAGTCAACTGGTAAATTCAAGAAAAAGCTCTGGCTAAGACTATTACGAAAAAGATAAACATACTCTTATGTAATTTAATACACTTAACGATAGTCACATACACACATATATATATATATATATCATGTAAATAGCATAATCACCTTCATTCTATGTACTGAAGATGGCATAAGCATGCCGAAACATGTTTA